ATCATAGTGCTCAAAAAGTGTCAAAAACAGTAATTTTACTTGATATTTGATGTGAAACCGTATTTTTTGGTGACAAATGAATTATTGATTAACTAGTTTTTAAGCTATAGTCTGTTTCATATTTGTATTGCGTTTTACCTTAGAAACAAGGGTGGGTTCGACTTTTGACTTACTGTGGAGAGAATATGTCGTTTTCTGAACTTCTGCTGATTTGTTTGAAAAAAGCACGTACACGTCTAGAGTTTGGATATACAAATCGATTTTTAAACATGACAATCTCGATCCAAATGCTGTTATCGAAATTACCAAATTCAGTGAAAATGTACAGAAATGACCCCCATTGAACATTGAAATGTTCACTCGAATGGCAGACTATAAAAATTAGAATAGGCATGACATTTTGTAGTTAACGAATAGTTTTCGATGTTTAAACACAAATATTTACACATTTTTCATATTTTGAAATGCTATAGTCTGTTTCAAAAATGTACTTTTATACGAAAATGGTTTCATTTAAAACTGTTGTTCAAAATTCACCGTAGTAGTTACATATTGGATCGGTTTTGGTATCAATATAATCAGTACTTGATGACATATAAAGAATCATTGGAGAAAGTGGACATTATCTTCAGGCCCTTTTTAGCAGTACCGCATTTACTCAAAAAATCAGAAATTTTTTTTTCACATTTTTTGACTGGGGTCACCTCTGATAAAAAATTGTGAAAATTCAGAGAGTAATGCCAGAACGTTTTGAAGATGATTTTTGTGTGGCATATATATTTGTGCATCTAACGAACTATGAATTGCATGATTCTAGAAAGTATTAAATACCGTATAGGTTACAATACACCATTAGATTTTATGGGCGCAGCCATTTTATGAGCATAACATGGTATTCAGAATTAAGAGTATAGCTAATCCTGATTGGTTGATATGTGCGCCCGTTATTTTTTGTTATTAGAGACTTCGTGCATTCTGCATTATACCAAAGGCCAAATAAATTATTTTCCTTAGCCCTAACGGAACTGAGATGTCTTTTAAACGCTAGGATGAGACACGTATTTTTATGTGCAAAATTGATAGGCATGGGAGATAAGTACAAATTACGCTAAGAAAAGCAACGCGAACCTATATTTTTTGGACCAAAAAATACTGTCCTAATAACTTTTCTTTAATTCTAGCAAGGTTTCGTTTAAAAAATCAACTTTCTAAAGTCTGTATCTCGAAAAAGGCTATCATTGTCGCCTATGGGGAAATTAATTGTTTATTTCAACCTATACAGCGTCGACATTTCTTTATCATAGTGCTCAAAAAGTGTCAAAAACAGTAATTTTACTTGATATTTGATGTGAAACCGTATTTTTTGGTGACAAATGAATTATTGATTAACTAGTTTTTAAGCTATAGTCTGTTTCATATTTGTATTGCGTTTTACCTTAGAAACAAGGGTGGGTTCGACTTTTGACTTACTGTGGAGAGAATATGTCGTTTTCTGAACTTCTGCTGATTTGTTTGAAAAAAGCACGTACACGTCTAGAGTTTGGATATACAAATCGATTTTTAAACATGACAATCTCGATCCAAATGCTGTTATCGAAATTACCAAATTCAGTGAAAATGTACAGAAATGACCCCCATTGAACATTGAAATGTTCACTCGAATGGCAGACTATAAAAATTAGAATAGGCATGACATTTTGTAGTTAACGAATAGTTTTCGATGTTTAAACACAAATATTTACACATTTTTCATATTTTGAAATGCTATAGTCTGTTTCAAAAATGTACTTTTATACGAAAATGGTTTCATTTAAAACTGTTGTTCAAAATTCACCGTAGTAGTTACATATTGGATCGGTTTTGGTATCAATATAATCAGTACTTGATGACATATAAAGAATCATTGGAGAAAGTGGACATTATCTTCAGGCCCTTTTTAGCAGTACCGCATTTACTCAAAAAATCAGAAATTTTTTTTTCACATTTTTTGACTGGGGTCACCTCTGATAAAAAATTGTGAAAATTCAGAGAGTAATGCCAGAACGTTTTGAAGATGATTTTTGTGTGGCATATATATTTGTGCATCTAACGAACTATGAATTGCATGATTCTAGAAAGTATTAAATACCGTATAGGTTACAATACACCATTAGATTTTATGGGCGCAGCCATTTTATGAGCATAACATGGTATTCAGAATTAAGAGTATAGCTAATCCTGATTGGTTGATATGTGCGCCCGTTATTTTTTGTTATTAGAGACTTCGTGCATTCTGCATTATACCAAAGGCCAAATAAATTATTTTCCTTAGCCCTAACGGAACTGAGATGTCTTTTAAACGCTAGGATGAGACACGTATTTTTATGTGCAAAATTGATAGGCATGGGAGATAAGTACAAATTACGCTAAGAAAAGCAACGCGAACCTATATTTTTTGGACCAAAAAATACTGTCCTAATAACTTTTCTTTAATTCTAGCAAGGTTTCGTTTAAAAAATCAACTTTCTAAAGTCTGTATCTCGAAAAAGGCTATCATTGTCGCCTATGGGGAAATTAATTGTTTATTTCAACCTGTAGGCAGACCATGCTGCCGACAAAATAACACACTACACACGTGTAACACTGTACACACATACGCCTAATCACAATACGCCCAAATACCATACGGGCTGCAACCTCAACGGTCGTTAAAAAATTGCTAATATTTCCCACTGTTAGAAATTAAAAATTAAAACAAGCAAACAAGCCTTTTTTTTTTTTTTTTTTTTTAAATATATATCTTTCAAAATGTCCGTCTACCTTCTCCAAAGATAAAACCACATGAATTTCAAATCTCACATTGTGCAGCAACGCACTAATTTTACCGCCAAAAAAGGTCAACTCGAATAAGTTACCAAATAACCTGAATTCAGTAAATAATAACCTTTTAATATTCTAGTCCGTTCACAAAATAGTAAAAGATACCATATTTAACATTTAAAGTCGCACGTGGCAGACCAACTATAAATTAAAAGCAACAAAAACACACCGTTCAAACGGCAAACTCCACAAGTTAAATTAACATTATCCCAAACAGTTTCCGGCTATACCTCCTAACTGTTGTACCAAAATAAAAAAAAAAAAAAAAAAATTACCAACCTAAACTTAGAGTTGCCACTGCAACACTACAAAGTAGAAAACACTGGCTTCTATGAGAGAAAATAGAACACGTCCAGCTAGGCCGGTAACTGCGACCAGAATGAGGGTTCTCGTCACATCTCGTGAGATTTACTTAAGATAGTGCTTTGATAGAACTTCAATATTTTGTTGAAGCATGATATCACTTGTTCGATTTGTAAGTATTTTCTCTGTATTTTGTCAGTCTCGACTGCCATCATTTATGTATATAATTTTAGTTTATTGTTCTCTTGTACACTCAATGTGTCTGAGGTTCAAAAAAGAATTTGAATTTGAATTTGACCATTACGTCTTTAACTAAATCGTCGTGGAGGATTATGGTCCATATGGAAATGCCATGTAGTTCCTCTGTAGAAACATAAAAGATTTCCACCTTCACATACTGAGCATTTTTATACTCTTTTTATTTTATTTCTATAAAAGTTTCTGAGTTAAAGCGAACAAAAATCTAAAGATTAAAAGTTAAAGTAATCCCAGATAATTTGACCTGGACGTATGTGTTTGAACGTCAATTTTAATCGACTGTGTACAGGTTACTTTGACTTGGACTTTCAAGTTTTTTTACAAAAAGAGTGTGTTTTGAATTTGTGCAGATGAGTTTGTATGCCAATATTCATTTAAGACATTACAATTCCAGTTATAAAGCTGACAAACAAAAAGTAAAACAAACACGGCGTGGCATGAACTAAAAAAAACCATTTTTAGTCATAAGGGTGTGCGGTGTGGAACCTTACATCTCCCCATTAACAATGTTCACCCTTGAATAAAGCTTTGATCACTATGTTTTATTATAGCTGTCTGAGCATCTTCTCCACCTTTTTCAGTTCATTACATAATCGGATAATTCATAAAAAAAAAAATAATTTCCTACTGACAATTTCATCATGAACATTTTGCGAACGGGTATTTAATTAATAAGAAAGAAATTTGTTTTAAGAAATAGAGTAAGGGCCGTCCTATGAATGAAAAAGACATTGTCTTTTTCAGCATCACGAGGTTTATGTTATTTGCCTACAAAACAAATAAACTATTTGACGAAACGACGTCTACTTTCATTTTCCACTACTTTATTTGTAATCACGTATAATTTTATCCTGGATGTTTATTGTTACTTCATGTTATTTAAAGAATTTTAGGAAATGAAAATTTACACTAAACTAATGATAGGGTAAATTGATTTTTGAAAATAAACAGAAAAAAGGTTACCAGTATTTTAGGCAGAATCATACTTTTCAACATTAGCATCATCGAAACAGAAATATAAGAGTATTGTGCATATTCGGCTGGATGCTATACAAGTAAGTAATCCCATATATTTTATTTATATCATCTAGATATATTTATAATATTTAATCAAGGTGTGTAGGAGCCAGAGGTTAAAAAAGGGGGGGGGAGCCGCATTGCCCCCTCCCCAACTTTTTGAAATTGTTTTTATTGATAATAAATATTAAAAATGAAAGTGGACACTGACTAATTTCTAGACTAATAGACTATAGAAAAGTGTTTTTTTTTTACCTGTCACTTTCAGAAGTTTGCCCCCTCCCAAACACTCTTTCAGTCTACCCATACGCCATTGTTTTTATATCTAAACTTTTAAACTGATCTTTTAAAGATTTTAAGATTAAAATGATTCATTTTTTCACTATTTTTTTAAACATTCTTTTTTTATTTTCGTCTTTGCAATAGGAATGTAGTTACAGCGAAATTGAAGAAGGGCCAACGATTTGGAGTCTTTTGATTTTTACACTTTGTCTTGCACATGTCATTGTAATTAAATAATAGGTAACAAAACATATCAAATTTTATTTGTTTGTGTTATTGTAAGGTTTATTACCTTAACCAAAATTGAACACTCAGTCGGGTGTATATATTGGCGGTATTTATGATCAAATATGATCTATGTTGACATGCTCTAGATATGAAGAGTATTTAAATCTACTATTAATAGGAATATCCAGATAAAAATTCCTAGGTGAAAATACCGTATGAACTTGCCCTATCATTAGCAGATTAAGAAATGTAAATAAATCCCCAAATGTGAAATGATATTCTCCATCGAATTACTGTAAGACGAACTTTAAGTTATTAATAAGTTTTATCATTAGATTCGAGGGAAGTAATATAAGGTCGACACAGTTAAGCAACTTTCTTAATTAAAATCATTCTGTAATTTAATTATAAGTTAGATTTTATGATTGAAAATGGAGCCAAATTTTTTTGTTTACTTAGTATGTGTAGGTTGTGACATATTTCAAAGCTTGAGGACCATTAGGATTAAGTCATCAACCTTGGGAAATTCTGAGGAACCATTACGTATGTTATGTATAAATTTACAGAATTTAATCATCTGATTCACAATACACAGAGCTGCTCTAGTCTGAAAGTATCTAAAGTCATATTTGACTTTTGATTAATTTAGATTAACTGGAAAAAGATCAATCTTATGTGTGAGGTTAACATTTAAGTATCCGGGGACTATTAAAACCATATCAAAAACAATACATAGAATTTACTCTTACCAGTGGTTGTTGTTAAGATGTGAATACTTTTTGTTGGAAAAAATCGTTATACTTTGTGAATTTCCCCTGTTCATCGTCCTCTCTTATAACTCACTGTAAACTTACATTCGCCTTTGATATGTAAGTTATATTTGATGTAAAATTTGGAAGTATTTATGTAATTATAATTCTTTTATTGAGTCGATTCTATATTTAGATCTCCAAAATGATGGTTGTGATGATGGATAGGTTTTTCACGTCCAGTGGCAAATATTGTACGAGTTTCAGGGCAACAACATGTTAATGTGATAGTTCACAGGGTAATTGTATCAGGAAGACGCACCCAGACACATTATTCTTACTCCGATTGTACCAGTCTCTGCTCTTATAAGCAGCACGCATGCTTAACAAATTCCAATTTTGAAGCTTGTGGTTTATACCGGCCGGGAATCAACGACTTCCCGCACTCGAGATAAGCACGCTACCACCGAGGCGGTTCTATAAAATGATGATCTTTATTGCAGTATTGTGCAAATGAAGCATAGCCATTTCAATAGATCTAAAGTAAAAAGTATAACTCGTACATGGTAATAGTGACTTTGAAATAAAATTGTGTCTAGTTAATCATGTTGATACGCATTTATTGCAAGAAACAATGATGGCAATGTATATGCTATAACTAAAATACTCGGCATTACATAACTGCGATTACCTCGAAAATGTCCAGTCATTTATATTAATATTGTCATTGATAACTTTATTTAGGTTAAAGAAGGAAGGTATTTAATAACCGTGAATCTACCGCGAAATTGGTTATATTTAACTATGTCTACGCATGGAAGTATTATATTATATATAATACTTCCATGGTCTACGTAAGACCAGTACCCCCTTCCACGTTATTGATTACGATCTTTATAGTTCTTTGCATTTAAGTCGATTATTTACTGATAAAGTTTAGAAAGGCAAAATACAGCGATTTTATTGGTCGATAGCATTTCCCCATAATCTTTAATAAATGCGTAATCGAGATTCAAATACGATGTACAACATAAAGAATGGTGGTCTTATGCATACTTAATGGTAGTTAAAATTGTTACAAAAACGTATAGAAATGATAAAATGTTTACCTTTACACATTTATATTAAATTTGTAATAATTTGTTTGAATGTTATTGTTTTTGTTTCAGACTCAATTTTGACGTATTTATGATTAACTTAATACGATGATGGAGTTTCTCATACCATGTCATAATGACCAATTGTCAAGAAGTCGCAGCGTTTAGCGTAAACTGATAATCTTAACTTTGGACTTTTATGATAAAATTGAAACAAATGGATATCAAACTAACACCCCGACTCTGTACTTCTGATTTTATCAATGAAATAACCGAGAACGATTCTAATTTGAACGTTGGTTTAACTAGAAGCAGAAATTCAGAAAATGACATTCAACATGAAAACGGAGCAGATTCAAGCGGATACAACTCGAATTCAACTTTAGACGAGCAATTAGAAACACAAGTTTTCCTTCCGAAAAATGACAAGGATAACAGCGGAAAAAGTGTAGAAAGTGGAAGCAGGACATCCAATGACGATAGTGCAATAAGTTTAACGCTTAATATTACTAATCTAGATTCAGATCAAAATCAAATACCTACAACTCAGGAAACGTTGTTAGGACAGACCAATGATACTGATAACAATATCAAACATTCACCATCAACTCAAAAAATATGGCTCTGTTTAGTCCTGTCAATAACTTTTAACGTTTTGTTAATCGTATCAGTAATTGCTGTCCTTAGTTTACTTTGTAATACAGACAATACAGACAAATCATATCAGCCATCCTATTGTGTTCTGGAAAGCCACAAACCCCCATTGTGTTCAAATTTTTCATCAGCACATCTTCAATATTTAGCTCACGTAGTAAGTATCTTTCTTTAAGATTAATATCTTTACATTAATATTAAAAATATGGTATATATGACAAGGCCAGGTAATAAAATTAGAAAAAAGGGGAGGGTTGAAATTTGAAAAGCATGAGTCAAACCCCGCTATATTCGATGTGCATGTGCCTGTCCCAAGTCAGAAACCTCGTCAATAGTTGGTGTATGTCATTTCTTAATATGTTCCCCTTATTCGGAAAATAGGAGTTGATGGCAGATATTTGTTGTTTCTGTTTTATTTAATCATAACTTTTTATAGATTTGAGACAAATTAGAGTTTGACATTTTGTGTAGACACCTGTCTATTGTTGAATACTATATGCTGCTGTATAGATGGTTTTTTACCGTGAGGGCATTCCGGTGTATTGCTGTCGCCTAGATTTCCATTACGTAACTTTCGTGTTGGGATTGTAAACGATCTATAAACATGATAAATACGCGGACATTATCGAGTGCAAAATAACCTTCCTTATCGCTTGTTATAAATTCATTTTTTCAATGGATACTCCCAAAATTATTTTTTTTAAAACATAAATTAATAATATGAAAGTGTTTTGTCGTTAGAAATATATATATAAGTAAAAAATCTTTAATATCTATGCACACGTACAGAAAATGTGTGTTAATGCATGCGGAAGAATATCTCAAGAACGTTTGCAATCTCCCATGCAGAGTTATCGGTCCTCGCAGAAGTTACTAAACTGTACTCAACAGTAGCGTGAGTTAAAAAGAAAGCCTCAATTTGGCAAAGTTGACATTCGATACATTTCGTTATTCATTTAAAGGTCCCTTTTGGTCATATAACTCCTAATGTGTCTACATATTTATACTCATGGCTTTCACATGTTTGGGTTTGATCGTTCTTGATGAAGGTATACCAGAATAGCGTTTAGGATGCACCAAATCTATTAAGTGTTATTTTTCATTGTATGTCAATTTTTTTTTTTTTTGCCTCTATATTATTTTTATATTTAATTTGAATCCTCTGATTTTACGCATGCTATTTTCATTTTTTAGATGCAAATTAAATACAATCAAAGTCTACCTTTAGGAGCTGCCCAAACCTACATTTCCTTCCACAGTATTAAAGGTTAGTTAATATTTTTCGCGGATATATTTGTTAGTTTCTATATGTCCAATTTTTCATGTTCTGCATCTAATAATCAGCGTACTTATTTATTTGAGATTTCACTTAATTGAATACATATTTTTATTCTGATACGATAAGAAAATAAAAAAGGAACTAGTTATGTAAAGTATTTAGAAGGAAAATGACATCAAAATATACGAAGTCATTTTAGATTTTAGCTAAAGAACAGTGTGAAAGAACTTGGTCAAAATAAAGCAACAACAAAAAAAGACACACAAAACAAAAAAAACTTCTAGAAGATGTTAGAAGATCTGACATCTCCCTAATATTTATTGTATGGAATTAATTGCGAGACATGTGCTACCCTTAGGGTGCTACATAAAATTTAACCATAATTCTTTTTGTCCAACAGTGGGTCTGTACTGAGGCTGCGGCTTCTCAAGGTTGTGCGGAATTAATAAAAACATGGCATTTACTATCGGGATGGACAAACAATTAAGCGAAATGTCTAAGGAAAAGATTGCGCTTGATGCACGTTAAAAATAGTATGAACGGTTCTTCATGATAGGTTTGTAGTTGGTCTGTTCGGACAAAATTTTTCTAACAAAGTCTTACATATATGATCTGTAATATTCCTTCTTCATGCCTTATATATTATGTACTGTGTTACGACGCTAGATAAAAACTGACGAGGAAAGGTAACCACCGGCCACCGAAAGCTTGATTTTTGTCTAGCCTAGGTGGTCGAGTGGTCTAGCGCGCTGGGCATAGTGCAAGGCGATTTGGTGCCACGATATCTCAGAAACATGAGTTCGAATCCCGGCCAGGGAAGAACAAATATTTTCTTCCGAAAATTTACAGATCTAACATTATTGGGATGTTATTTAGACGAATTAAATATATATATGTTAAATAAATAGGTAATTCGGATTTTGAATTAATTTTTCCATTATGGTTTTTATTACAGGTGGTAAGGAAAATGGCATTATTCCAAGCGCTTTGATGAAAAGTACAAAATCGGCACATCGTCTTGTAACAAGAAAAGAAATTTTGTCATTTCACGACAACAAAATAATTATCCGAAAAACAAACACATACTTTGTATCCGTCCAGTTGCTGTTCAAGCGAGAATCAAGGTTGAATCACACAATTCAAGACAATGTCGATGTAACATTAATGAAGAAAAACAGACTAGACATTGACACTGTTTACATTTTGTCTAAAACACTACCAATTTGTAATGGCAGTCAAACTCTTCAAACCGTTCGAATAGTTGAAACTTTTAAACTGAAGAAAGGTGATGAAATTAGCATATTGGTGTCGAAACCTAATTTGGTCTATAAATGTCCTACTTGTAATATGGTAACAGTAATTGAGATCAAATGAAAACGGTACAAAATAGGAAATTGAACTTTTAAAAATCATATGGATATAGTTGTCTATGCTATTGCATTTCAAGCATACAATTGCCTGAGAACATGTATTTGAGTCTATGCAAATGTTTCGCTTATTAAGTGAAAAGGACATGCATTTTATCTGATCATTTGTTAAAATGTGCATTTTTAAAAGGTATTGTTTGCTTAATTTCTAGTCGTAAAGAATATGTTAACTTAAAAAGTGTACCTAAATCAGTAGATATACCAAGAGAACACATATGATAAACGATATTAAAGATTGTACATTTATTATTTTATTTGTTATAATTATATTTTGTTTGGCACATTTGAATGAACTAGTCTTCCTATATATGCCATTTCATAGGAACAATCGTTATAAAAACAAGGACATATGTATTTTTCATAGAGGACCATTCAGATATTTTGTACATTGTTGTCCAATCACAGAAGTATCAGAACCATCACAGGAAATGCAAAATTTGTATATAATCAAGACTTCTTCAAGGGCAGCTTTTACATCTATTAAATGGCATTTGTTATATATGTTATTTTTTTTATTAATTTTATTTCTTGTTGATGAAATGTTTGTTTTTAGTTTATTCATTGCTCAGTTCGTAGAACAAAACAAGATTTAAGATTAAGATTTATTGTCAAGCAACGCTCAGACGCATATATGTGTAACATGAGGTAAATATACAATAATAAATATGATTTATAATACAATGGTAACATTTTAAAACAAAAACAAATAAAAATTCATACAAATCAATATATAAATATATCACAATAAGTTATTTCGCTTTCTAATAAAAGATGACACCTGTCTATATAAATTAACATTGCAATAAGATAACATAACAGATAATTTCTGCTTGCTTGGATGCTTCATATAATAACTAGGGATATGTTTTTCTCTAAAAAATAACCAGTTGGGGAGAGTTACATATAAAAAGATAGTGAAATTCGTCTCCTACATTTTCTTTACACATGTGACATTTTCGGTCCTCCGCCGGAATATTATACCAACGCCCAGTTTCAATGGGAATTTTTAAATTAGACGTTCTTAATTTTGTCATCCAGATTCTTGCATTTTCTGGGATTTTTATTAAATAATTTTCAAAACCAAAACAATTTTTATAACTAAGAGTAAAATACACCTCGGGAAGATAATTGAACATCTTGATGCAATTTTTGTATATATTGGTCTTGTAAAACCTGTTTTATCAGATGTTTGTAGTCAGTACTATCTTGATTGACAAACACATATCCTAGTCCTGTATCATTAAATATTCTATAAAATTCAGCCATTTGAATGACTGACCGCTATTTTGCTTCAAACTTAATAATAATCTATACATATTACTACTTAATTTTTCACCATGCATTATACTTCTCCAAAATGATGTCATTCTTATTTCAACTTTTATTTCTATTGGAAATCTGCCTAATTCTCCATATAACATATAGTTAGGCGTTGAAGCTCTTACTCTTAAAATACGTTTACAAAAATTTAAGTGAATTTGTTCTAAAATTTTCAAGTTTTCGTATCCCCAAATCTCACAGCAATATAAAAGAATAGGCTCTACCATGGCATCAAAAAGTTTAAGCTGTAAATCTAATGGGATGACTTGATTTCTTATACTTTTGTACAAGCTGTATAATGCTTTTTGTGCTTGATAAACCAATTTTTTCTTCGCTTCAGTAAAAGTACCATTACATTTGAATATGAGCCCAAGATATGAGAATGTATCGACTAATTCTATATTTTTGCCTTGTAATTTAAATTCAAATTTTCGTCGCACTTTGCCTTTGCTAAATACCATACTTTTTGTTTTTGTAACATTTACTTCCAGTTTCCATAATTCACAGTAATTCTGAATACATTTAGTGCATTTTGCATACTTTCTGCTGAATCCGCTAAAATGACGGTATCATCAGCGAACAGTATGGTGAACAGTTTCATAATTGAATTTAACTCATTTTGACATTTTTCTTTAACTATCTTAAGGGGACATCCACCTAAATCAATAAAGAACTGTTCTATGTCATTTAAAAAAATGGAAAAGAGATAGGGAGATAGATTTTCACCCTGTCTAACACCAGTAAGACAGGGAAAATATTCTGACTGTTGGTTGTTGTATTTAACACATGATTTAATATTATTATACATATTAAAAATAACAGTAAAAATTTTCCCTTTTATACCACTGTTCTGTAGTTTTTTCCACAAGCCACTTCTCCATACAGTGTCGAAGGCCTTGCGGAAATCAACAAATGTGCAAAATAGTTTTTTTTCCAAAAGACTGATACAGTGCTATTAAGGCATGCAATACAAATAAATTATCGGTTGTAGAGTGACCTTTTCGAAATCCAGTTTGGTTGTATGAAATTAAGGAAATTTCGTTTGCAAAAAAGGTTAACCTAGAATTGATTATTGATGTAAAGACTTTTCATAGACAGCTTATTAAAGTTATTACTCTGAAGTTATCAGGATCCATAGGATCTCCTTTGTTTTTAAAAAACTGGTCTTATTATACCTATAGTTCAGTGCTCTGGTATTATTCCGGTGTCTAAAACAATGTTAAATATTTTACAGTAAATATGTACCAGTGCTAGAGTTGAAAGTTTTATATATTCATTTAAAATTTTATCTAATCCTGGTGATTTGTTATTCTTTAAATTTTTGATTGCATCAATTATTTCAGCTTCCGTAATCTCATCGTTCAAGATTGAATCGTACAAAGCATTATCACAAATAGAGTTAAAATCAATATCAATAGCATCATCAGCTGCATCGGGTTCCTATTGATTCAATTTTTTAAAAATATTCGTAAAATGTGTCAATAGGAATCGGAGGGTTCTGTTTAGTTTGACCGGAATATTTTTTAAGAGTTCTCCAAAAGGCTTTTGTGTCAGATTTCGAGTGGGATCTTAGCTCAGCAGCACATTTTTCTTGATACTTACTAAAATTTTGGTTTAGTGTTTTCTTATAATCTTTAGCAGAAGTGCTTAAAAGTTGTTTGATCTCTGCAGATCTATTATGCTTATATGTATTTCGTTTTTCCTTGCACTCTTTATTAAACTAAGGTTTTGCATTTAATTTAGGTGACCTATTAGACCTAATATTATTTTTATCACTAAAAACGTTAGTGGCGCTATTTACTAAGAATTTGCAAAGGTTATTAATAAGACTATTTATCTGATCGACATTAACCTGTGTGTTTTCGTTCATTTCATTCAACATACTGTTAAGTTCATTCAATGAGTTATGGGGATCATCATTTATTTTTTGAATAAATTCATTTGCTTTATCTGACCTCCAACGTACATGTTGGTCTACCTTTTGATTGGAAGTTAAGTTTTTCTGATGATTATCGTGATCTATTTTCATTGTAAATTGAACTCTATTATGAACATCAGAAAACATTGGGTTAAAACCAATTATTTCAAAATGTGTAGTTATATTAAAACTATTAGGTGAAAGTAACAGATAGTCTACCGTGCTAGCATCTTTACATGTTGTATGGCCAATACCTTTGTCTGAAAAAATGCGACCATTTGCTATAAAAAGGTTACATCTTTTACAAAAATCCAATAAATTTGTTCCATATTTGTTTACACGACCTGTATCTTCATTAAATCTTTGTAAAATGTTATTTTCTTTTAGTATAGAATAACTAGAAGTATTATCATCAATTTCATCTTCTTCAATTTGAAGTATTTCCTGTAAATTTATATCATCATCAACATAATCCTTCATAGAAGAAGTTCTAGCATTGAAATCCCCTACGATCACAATATTTTTGATACCTGGAGAAAATATTAACAATTCTTCTTCGATTTCAATAAAAGATTCATCAGATGAATATTTTGATAACTCACGTGGAACATAAGTATAACCAAATAGAGTACGTTGATCAAGGGGGATACTTTTTTGAAATTTCAATCCATTGAACAAATTCAGAATCCGATTTTAAAAACCGTAAATATTGTTTAATAGATATAGGAAGATGTGGTATGAGTGCCAATGAGACAACTCTCCATCCAAGTTACAATTTATGAAAGTAAACCATTATAGGTCAAAGTACGGCCTTCAACACGGAGCATTGGATTACACCGAACAGCAAGCTATAAAGTGCCCCAAAAAATTACTAGTGTAAAACCATTCAAAGGGAAAAACCAACGGTCTAATCTATATAAAAACGAGAAACGAGAAACACGTATGAACTACATAAACAGACGACAACTTCTGTAATCAGATTCCTGACTTTGGACAGGTGCAAACATTTGCAGCGGGATTAAACGTTTTGACGGTACCAAACCTTCTCCTTTTTCTGAAACAATAGTATAACATCACAACATAGAAAAACACACTTGGAAAGGCTTAACTGAATCAAAAAACGTAAATTAACATACACAATGAACGAATAAATTTGACCTGTGACACCTGAATGCAAATACACAGTTAATAAAAAATTACAAGGGATAAATATTTAAAGTCAAAAGTAAATAAACAGGTTTAAACAAAGTTAACGTATGATATCACTGTAAAATTTCAAACAATTTATAGAAAATCATCATTTTTGAAGAAACCTGCGTCATATTATACACAGGTAAATGAAAATAATTTTGTTGTTAAGTGTACTTCTTCTTCTGTGTGTATAAAATCTTCCGTTTAGGAATACCAAGAAATTTCTTTAATATCAATAAAACTAATCTAACAGTTGGTACATAAGGGTGAATATCAACAATACAATTATACAATTAGTGCTAGATAAAAAAGCTTTTTTTTTAAATTATAAGGATACCTCCCGATTTGTTTTTAAATTTCCTTCTGTTTTTTGCAAAATAGTCATATTCTCTGGGTAATTCCAGCACGTCAAACTTATCCAATTTAGATAAGATATCATACTGTGTAATTAGATGGTGAAAATCAGGATTCAGTAATTTTGACTTTATACCACACACATTTAGATGAGTTATTTTAAGTTTATCAATTCGCTCAGTAATATTATCTAAAGCGTTGCCACTGTCCTATCTTGATTTTTCGGCAGTATCCGATTCAGTACGGGTTCTTTTTGATCGTGGTGGTATTGGTGGACTGTTTGCTGCTTCTCTATGTTGTTGCGTACTAGGAGCTCGTTGGTTGGTAATTTCTCTATCATTATTTGCTGGATTGATATTGGTCTTTTCTGGGTTGTACAACTGACCATTAATATATAGTTTGTCACGAACAAGTCTCGCTTGTTTGCCTAGACTTTTTTCTTTTTTCAAGATCGGGTACAGTTTGCGGCGCCTTATTTCTATCTCTGGAGGGAATTGCTCGTTGATACCGAAGTTTGTATTTTTAAGTCGATATGCTTGTTTCAGAACATGTTCCAATTCTTTTCTATAGATGAATCTGTCAACAATCGGGCGTGCTCCATTTCTACCATGTTTGCCGAATCTGTGTACATTTCCAAGTGTAACCATGTATTCTATTCCTAGTTCCCTATTAATAAAAGTTTGTAACTTTGCCTCACAGTCCTCAGATTGATGATAGGCTAGACCGTTGAATACCAAGTTATTTTTCATGCTACGGCATTTCAGGTCTAAAATGGTTTCCTGCAGTTCCTTGATGATTGATTTTTCCTGTATTGTGTTTTCCTCAATCTTTTCAATATTAATTCTATTTGAGTCACATTTTTCTTTAACTTTTTCAACAACTTGACCCATGCCTTTAAAGCTGTTTTCAATTTCTTCCTGTTGTTGTAATTCGGCCAGATTATGTTCTGCTTGGTCCATACGTTGGACAACCGATGATAACTGTTGCCTAACATCATCAATTTTTTCGACCTCTGTTTCAATTTTTGCTATTCTGTTGTTCATTGATAGCAAAGTATTTAGAATCTTATTCAGAACCTCCAAAGTATTTGGTTCTATATCTGCTTCCAACGTGTTTTACTAGTATCTTCTAATAAGCGTTTTGTATCATTTGGATCCATTTCCAATCGCTTTTTGTTTCCTTCAAAAGGTTGTTAAGAATGAAAGAAATACTTTTTTTAATTCATACAACTGGAATAGGATCCCAGTTACGGCAACCAGTCCGGTACCCACGAATGTAGTTCTTAAAAAAAATATATAACTTTTATTTAAAACGGTGTAGTTTTATTATTACACAAGTTCTGTAACTGAATGTAGATTTATTTGAAAGGGTAGGCTTTCTAGCTTGAATTTCTGTAAAAATTTTGATTGATTTAAATGTAATCAGGCGTCGGTACATAGAGTAAATTGCCTAAATTCTAGCGTTTATTCTTCCCCGGAAGTAGATGGACCTACCCTGTTGTCAATCGAAACAAAATTTTGCAACGGAATGCCGGTCATGAGGCACTGAGATTGTACTTAGAAACTTCGAAACAAATGCCTAACATGAAACAGAAGTCCCAAGGTGGCTATCAAAATTACTTATTGGACAGCACCCCATTTATTTACTATGATTTTCAATGCGTTTCAATGGGGGAAATAACTGGGTCCCCGTTCCTGTCAGAGGGCATATTTTGAACACTTCAATCTGCAATTGTAAGCTTATTTTTGGGGTTACATGAATGAAATTTGGCCAGAAACTTGAAAATTCAATAAGAAAAACAATGGTGTAATTATTTTTAAAATTTGAATTAAACTTTTTAAATTAAACTGAAATTTAAATTTATGAAATTTTTAAAAAGTTTGTTTTTCAATTTAAAGTTTCAGAAGGGGTCACAGTAAGGTCATTTTGATGGTATTATGTATTCATACACTTGTAAGTTAAAATGGAGGGATTTTTCAAAAAATATCAGCAAAGAATATTAGAAAAGAGCCACCTGGCAAGAAATAACAAATGTCTTATATGGGATCAGGGGACAACAAAAGATGGAAAATATGGGCTTATTTCTTTCCAGTATCATATTTCTGGGACCTGGAAAAAGAGAAAAGCCCATAGATTCAGTTTTATGGTTTTTTATTAGTTTTTGATAAGTTTTAAATATTAAATACAACATTTTATGCCATTTTATGTGTCAAAAAAGTTTGTGAGGGAATGCGGGTCACATTACCGAAGAGCCGCATCACATAAATAACCACAGAATATTTCGTAAACTCAGAAAATCTTGCCAGGGGCTCTCTAATTTTCCAGATTGGGGCCTGGATTTTTTGGAAGATATATAAGGGGTAGGGCTATAGCTTATATTAACAATTTTAACTGAATGTACAACAATTTTAGACTCCTTTTTAAAGATTTTGGTGGTCCTTAAAAGGACCGTTAATTTTGTCTGTATCTTTTTCAGCAGTAGATGAATGCAGCTA